CCTCTCTCTCTCTCTCTCTCTCTCTCTCTCTCCCTCCTCTCTCTCTCTCTCAATCTCTTTCTCTCTCATACACACTTTTCGTTTTTATATATCCATTTCTTCCGCTCTTCTTTTCCTTCGTTTTTCTCCCCTCCACTCTCTTTTTTATGTCTATTTGTCTTCTCTTTGTAACTTTTCTGTTCTTTCTCCTTAATTCTCTCTGTTATAGTGTCTTCTTGGCTTTAGCAGACTGTTCATTTATTCTGTATCTCTTACACACTATCGTTGTTTTCACATTCCTATTACGGTACGCTGATGACAAGAGTTGATTGCAATGGTAAAAAAGAACAAGTTGTACATTAAACATATTTCTTTAATTAATACTACTGGGGACTGATTTAGGATTCTTCTTCTTCCACTTGTCAGATTGCAACATGACAACAATGGCACAGAGAGACAGACTTAACCATCTTTCTGTCTCTCACATTCACTATGATGTCGTGTCTGTCTGTCAGTCTGTCTGTCAGTCTGTCTGTCAGTCTGTCTGTCAGTCTGTCTGTCTGTCTGCCTGTCTGTCTGTCTGTCTGTCTGTCTGTCTGTCTGTCTGTCTGTCTGTCTGTCTGTCTGTCTGTCTGTCTGACTGTCTGACTTTCGATGGCATCGGTTGGCTTGAATTCTGTGTGCTATTACTTAACAGAAGAATGAAAAAGAATTACACTCTATGTATTATAATAACATAGGGGAAAAGACTAGCTTTTAGCTAAAATTTACTCACATTGGTATTTTGAGATACTTTTTAAAAAATCACGAACCTTAAGAGCCATCTTGCTTTAACTATTTGCTAAATGATACAAGTTCTTCGTTCCCCCGCTGTCAATAATTTGCACTTGTAGACTTTGAACTTATATTTCACAGACATTCCGTGGGATCTGTACATCAGATCAAATGAACTCAGGCCTGATCGCTCTTATACTGTAGATTCTGGGCGCTTAAACCCTGGCCCACCTAAATGCCTTTCTACCAAGTCACCATAGACCTACTGTACACAGTATGTATAGTGACTATGCAATAAGCTCGTGCGCTAAACAATATCGATACTTTATACTGTACCAATGATAGTACATAACAAGATGGGCCACTCAGCCAAAAAAGTGTCCGCAGGAAGTATGCTCTTTGCTTCAGATGGCGCTGCAGTCTGTTTTGAAGCTCTCTTTCGTTTTTCCAGAAGAAGAATAGGAATAGCACCTCCTTGCGTGCGCAGATCGACTGCTGTTCATCAGCAGTTCGGGTACGTTCAGTGCGGAGTTTTATTTTTTTAAAATTTTAATGACCTCTCGCCTTTCATTCTAAAGTCAAATTAAACGAAGAAAACCATCACCCTTTCCTCCGGAAGAGGTTTTTTGTCAGCGTAACCATTTTAAAAAAGCGTTCTTCCGAAATTTATCCCAAAATTTGCTAGTTTCACTTTGATTTTAAAAAACTCAAGTAAGGTAAGTCTGTTCGCAAAGAGTGCGCTTTTGTGAAGAGGGCGCCACCAAATTTTGAGGACACTTTTTTAATTGGCTCAAAGAGAGAAGTGGCCCATCTTGTTATGTACTATCATTGACTGTACTATCAAGTACTCACAAAGAGACAAAGGAACTGATGGTTCAAAAAGGCAAGGGGGCTGAAGCTGCATCCAAGCGTTGAGTGACGTGGCGAGGCATTGCTTGACTCTTGACACCAAATTTGCAAGGTGGTGGAAAATTGCGCATGTTTTTTCGTGTTATACAACGACTTACCCAATAAGCCACCGTTCCTTTATGCGGTTTTTAAGTAAGTGTGGTATCGATTATGAGGTCTGTAGTCGAATCAGAATCCTAACTTAACCGTATTTAGCTGATTGAGTGTTCATTAAATCCGTTTAAGACCTCTCTACCAAGCTGGGTGTAGGAGGGGGTACATTGTTTAGCTGAAAATAGTCCAGTGAGTTTGTCTCAGAAGAACAACCAGAAAATAAGTAAATATATTAGGGACTTTGTATAAATGTGTAAGCCCGATGCAATTTAGTGGCGCTGCAAAATGAAACTTAAAAATGGAGATTTTCATGATAGAGAAAGGACGAAAAAAAAAGTACAATGAAATGAAATAACAGTCTTGATTCTGGGATAACTGAAGAGGTCTACTGAATTTCAAGTCGGTACCAGATCGAATACTTGCACAACCTAAGACATGTACTAAAAGTACTTGCGCAATTTTCCAACAGGTTTTGGAAAACTCCTTTAAACTTTTTGACAATAGTATTAAAACCTGTGCAGTTTTCCGCTTCTCATTTGCACACCCTAACGGCTTCTGGCCAAAGCGTAGACTGAGCCCCCCCTTTCTGTTTTTCCGTGGCTCTGTGTGCTTTCTTTAATCAAGCCATGTAACTGGGATGGTATTACTGGTCTTACACTGTGTGTGTACACTTGAATGGAATTTTGGGCGAGTTAGCAACCACTACTTTCAAGTGTAGCTTACCGTGTACACCAGTGCTCTGTGTAGTGAGATCGTCGGACAATTTATGAAACAAACACCTGTGTATTGCATCAGGGAGTTTAGATAGTTTTAAATTAAAATCTAATATGCTTTCTTCAATGCAGTAATGAATCGTGAAGAATATTTATTGGAAACTCGCTTTACATTTTCTCATGTGAAGATATAAACTCACTGTCAAGAGGCTGGGATCATATCAACCAGCTGAACTTTTGCATTCAGGTGTGGATAGAGAGCAACAGAGGTATTTTAATCATGAATGGTACATCTTGAAGAATGTACAGTTCAACCGAAATGTCATCGATAAACTTGCTTAACATAAAACCCGAAGGGCACAAATCATCATGTGTACAGGCCTAAAAATACTCAGGCGAGTCCTTTTTTCCTGGTTTCAAACGTGGGATTGCCACTAACAATATTATGTAGACGTATTTATATTGTCATGTTATCCTCTTTATATGCGCTCTTTACTGGCCTTTCTGTTATCACACATCCACTATAATCTGAGGGATCGAATGTGTTTGGTCATGGCAAGCCCCTCCCTCTTTCCAACCCACCCGACGCCACTGCTAAGAAACTGGGATGGTTCTGGTGTTCCGCGCAATTTACCGATCCGCGCAAGATTACGCCAGCGCGTTTTGACGATCGTATAATTGTATCGTTCTTGTGAGCTCTTCAGTTTCATATCTTAATTTTAATTTTAATTTTCCATATTTTTACACTTTTGAAAATATACGTGAATGTTTCTTGATGTGAATAAAAGAATGAAGATGGAAGTGAAATGAACTTTGACTTTGAGTTTGATATCTGGCATATTATCATTGTTGTGGGCTCTTCAGATTTTTGTACACTTTTGAAAATGTACGTGAATGTTCCTTGATGAGAGTAAAAGAATAAAGATGGAAGTGAATTTTTAAAAAATCGTTTCAGAAATATAAATTATTAACGTAATCTTGAGATTGCCCTGCATTTATACGACCGTTAAAACGCGCAGCGCAATCTTGTTTGCGCCAATCGGTAAATTACGCGGAACACTGGTACCAAACGCTGCCGGTTCTGAGAAAGCGCCGACCCTGAACTTGAAGCTTTGACGTCAGGTGTCAGATGCACAACTTAATGACCAATTTTTAGAACTTTTGATTTGATTTAAGTCAAAGAAGTAACGTATTGGTGAAGAAAACCGGGTGGGGCTGAAGCTGCAAGCCTCACCCCACAAAACGCCACTGTCGGTACGTCACAATATTGGCCGGTGAATATACTTCCTCGGCACTTGAAGCCGTCTATTTGCATGATTTTGCTATTTTTGATTTTGATGTTTGTGGGCCTGGTGTTTTGCTAATGTTCATGTAGGCCTACTGTTACACCTTAACATTTGACACAAAACAAATTTGACCACAACACGTCCCAACCCAAAAGCGGAGCGAGCTTATCTTGAGGGTTTTTACTTTTAACATATCCTGCCCTGTATGCCTATAAATTTCACTTTGCTGAAACTGGACTCATTCGCAAGCTGAGTTTCCATTATCTCCTGGTGAACAAACCATCAAAGAAGCTGCAGAGAAAATGGCTGACACAAATTTGACCGCAATGCTGTACAAAACTGATGACTTGCGCATGGTATGAAGCGATATTTAGAGTTTTACTTATAAATTTCTGTTGTGGAGCTTTAACCTCTTGAGTGACCCATGATGTCATTTTTTCACCCGATCCTGTGACTTTTAGTTGGCGTGACTCGTGACTCAGCAGTATGTCGGGGTCAACAGGGTTACTTAGCCCTGAGGCGACTTTGCCGGTGGTGATTAAGAAATTCGTATTTTTGTCAACTACAGAAACGATATAACTTCCTCCCCATCCCACACAGAAAACCATTACAACATGAGTAATGTCCTTAAAGCTCAATGTTTCGAGATTTATTCTTCGTTTTAAAGGTTATCTACAGCAGTTTTTGTTCTAGACAAATTTTTGTACAGTACCATCCTTGCCATATTTTTAGTTGCATACGTTTGAATAAATATTTAAAATCGGCGGTATAGATCTCTCTAAAACCTGTGTTAAACGGACTACGAATATCGTATCTTTTATCAAAAGAAATCTTGAATCTGCGCAGGTAGTAATAGTCAAGTTATGAGAGAAGAAATTAAAGATGCGCACATCTGCTTGACAAAACACGCTCGGTGCTGGCTCTTTGACAATGACAATGACAATGACAATGACAATCTTTATTCATCTCGCAGGGAGAAATTTGTCTTGGTCGTTAACAATGGCAGTAGACGTTACAAAAGTAAGACTTAAAGGTGCACTCACGCAAACGCACAACAAGACAGTCAGGACATTATGCCAAGTAAATACATGTCTCACGGGCTGGGACAACCCGCTCCGTAACACATTCATTCTCTCTCTCTCTCTCTCTCTCTCTCTCTCTCTCTCTCTCTCTCTCTCTCTCCCTCTCCCTCTCCCTCTCCCCCCCCTCTCTCTCTCTCTCGTCTGTTTCATTTGTAGCACTGTGTGTTCAGTAACCTCACTGCAGTTGGTACGAATGGATTTCTATATAATCTGTCTGTTCTTGCTTTTTTGGAAATGTATCGTTTACTGCGGGTCGATAGTTGAAATTTCGATGTCAGTGGGTGGCTATGGTCACTAAGCATTATTTCCGCCTTTTTTAGAACGTTTGTCTAGTGCAGATATTCAAAGTTACTCAGGTCTCTACCAATTGTTCTTGATGCCCTTTTTATCAACTTATTTAGTTTTATAATGTGCTGCCTTCTCAGATTGCTACCATAGCAAATGATTCCAAAATTATCAAAGTTTCTATTGTGGTGGTGTAGAAAATCTGAAGGATGGATGGATTCAGATTGAAAGACTTTAGTTTCCTCAGAAAGTACAGCCTCTGATTTACTTTTTTAGCGATATTGTTTACGTGGTTTTGCCATGTAAATTTGTTGTCTATTGTAAGGCCAAGATATGTGTATGAATCCGTGATTTCAATAGTTTCTTGTTCAATTACGAGTCGTGGGATTGTTGGTTTTTCTCTTCTAAAATCAAAAATCATTTCCTTTGTTTTTGAGAGGTTCACTTTTAGAAAATTTGAGTTGCACCATTTAAAAAACCTACATATTTCTTCGAAATACTCTTTTTCATCATGGTTTATTAATCCAACAATAGCGGAGTCATCTACAAACTTAATTAAAAGCGTGTTGTTTTATACATACGTCTATGATAGTATACAAAACTGGTGACAAAACACACCCCTGAGTACCGCCGGTGTTACAAAGAATTGTGTCAGATTTTGTGTTGTTTAGCTTCACATATTGTGGTCTACCTGTCAAAAATTCCAGGACCCATGCTGCGATATGATGACTAACTCTCAGACTCAGAAGTTTTTCAATGACAATATGCGGTTGAATTGTATTAAATGCTGAGGAAAAATCTACAAAAAGTACCCTCGTATACGTTTTAGATGTTTCAAGGTGTTTCAGTATAGAGTCACAAAAAACAAGTACAGCATCTTCTACGTTCCTCTCTTGTTTGTATGCAAACTGGAATGGATCTAGATTTCCATGAACACGGCCTAGAATATTAGAGAGGATCACTTTTTCAAGGCACTTGAAAGCAATGGAATTGTAAGAGCGACTGGTCTTAAGTCATTTAATTCATATATTTTAGGCTTTTTTGGTATTGGTATTACCTCCGATGTTTTCCATATTGTAGGAATGTAGTTTTTGTGTAGGGTCAGGTTAAAAATGAAGGTAAATATCGGGGCCAGTTGCTCACAACAAGTTCTTAACACTCTCACTTTCACTCCGTCTGGACCACAGGCTTTGTTTATGTTTACACTTTGAAATTTCTTTTTAACACTCCGCTCACTGAGCTCAACACACTCCTCCCTGCTCAACTCGTCTCTTAGCCTCTGTTTTAGATCACGCTGCTCATTCTCAAAATCAAAACAGTCGAAACAACAATAAAAGTTGTTTAGCTCATTTACATAGTCTCTTTAATTTTTTACTTGCTTACTCTCTCTCGCTGCAGTATAACCCGTTATTTTTTTCAAAGAGGACCACATATTTCTCATATTATTTGTCTGAAATTCGCTCTCAATTCTAGTTTTGTGCGCTTGTTTACAATGAGCAATCTTTCTTTTAATTTTTTTAGATATCAAGTACATTTCATTCATGTTATTACTTCTAAAGGCTTTCCGTTTTTCTTTTATTAGATCTTTCAGTTCTTTCGTTACCCATGGAACACACGAGAGAAAGTTACTTTGCGTTTGTTCCTGAATCATGCCGTAGCTAAGGCCGTCTGTATATATATATATATATATATATATATATATATATATATATATATATATATATATATATATATATATATATATATATATATATATATATATATCTAAGAAAGATGTGCGATCATTTAAAAGCAGAAAACTACGTAAATGTATGAGCAGAGATATATTTCTTATATATGGAACACACACACACACACACACACACACACACACACACACACACACACACACACACACACACACACACACACATGCACACACACGCACATGACAACCGATCCATTATTTTTAGTTTTTGAGTCGGAATGTGTGCAGTCACTTAAGAGTGTGAAGAAACCAGAATGTGGTCAGTCTTTGCAAATAGTTACAGAAAATGAATGGAATGCTCGAAAACTGGTGCTGATTGAGTGTCACCCACAGAATTCTACACTTAAGTGTAGAATTCTGTGGTGTCACCTGAAAGCTAGAAGGTTACCCTCCTTATTCAGTGAGCTTAGACAACCTAAAAACTTACATATTCTGTACATGTCACAGTGTTGCACTGTAGATGTATTCTGTCACTAAAAACGATTCGTGCTTCTGCTTTGAGAGATCTTAACGTACAATTGTATAAACCTCTGTTTTCACGATTGTGTTTGACGCAAAAAGTTGTATGTGAAAGAATTAAACTTGTGGAGTCTGAAAAATAATTCTTACTTAATTGTATGCAAGGAGGATTACTTTACATTTATGGCCTATACTTACAGTTTCATCCTCTATGGCCGTTCAGGCTTGAAGGAAGATGCAGTATCTAATGCTCTGACTGACAGCCTGTGAAAGTTAACTCAGGTTATTCGTGATGCATCCAGGCAAAAAGGCAAATGAGGAAATCAAATTTTAGTCTTTTTTTCTCAAGCCAAAGGCTCTATAAGTATCTTCTTTCTTTATTTTATTTATCTGTGAATTTCTCTTTTTGACTAGCTTTCTCTATACTATAGTAGTCTCAGCATGAGATCTAGGTGAGTGTGATCGGCGGGTGCTCTGGTGTGGTTTGCTCCTTCTTTCCTATCAAACATGTATCTTCCTAATCTCTCCTCCTACTTTTTTAAAAGTAAATATTACTCTCATACAACACCCCGAACCCTCGGCGTTTATACCTAATTGTGCTGCAAATGCCGTAAAACGCTTAAAGAAATTAAAACTAAGATCCCGGTGCAATAGAGCGAAGGGAATGTGGGATCTTAAGCGAACAGGAAAAACTAAGTGCCCGTTTTCTCTCCTATTTCTTTCTTTCTTTCTTTCTCTTCTTTTCTTTTCTTTCTTTCTTTCTTTCTTTCTTTCTTTCTTTCTTTCTTTCTTTCTTTCTTTCTTTCTTTCTTTCTTTCTTTCTTTCTAGGTGTTGTTTGTCAACTGCAGGATGTAGCCTTCCAACAACTCTGTTTTGTCAGCTGTTTTCGTGTCCAGGTTACACCCATTTTCTCTTTGATGTCGTTCTACCATCTTCTTTCTGGTCTACCTCTAGATATTTTTCCCATTCTTGGTTTCTATTCCGTACATTCTGGTTCATCTATTGTCTTTCATTCTGCCAATATAACCATAGCTTATTCAGGTATGAGATGGAATAATGTCAGTTAAAACTGTGTTTTGCAGGAAGACCTTCCTGTGCCTAAACCTGGACCTGGACGTAAGTACATATATAATAAACCATGTTTACGTTAGGATCACTATTTTCAACAGATTTAGATTTGTGTTCCTTTCCGCATTGTTGATATTCCACACAATTTATATTCGTTCATTCGTATGTCATTTTGTTGGGATACAGTTTTACTGTATTTGAGTGGCTTTCCTTTAAAATATTTTCATTGGTTTTAATGGCATGTGATTTTTGCTACCCGCGAAGAAGTGGTAAGTATATACAGGTTCTCTGATTTGTAGATTCTCCTAGGCGGCTTTACCATTATTATCTCAGTTGCTCTCAGGAGTAGTAGTTATTCTTTGTATTATAATTTTATTTAGTGTCATATTCATAGTGGCAATATTGATATTTAAAAAGAAAGAAACAACTGGCTATTTATTGTGGAATTTAATCTAAGTTGGGAAAGTGATTTAATTTAGTATGAAAATGAAATTATGAAAAGTGATCTTCTGGACTTACTTTTTAGATGCTGTAATTTCACAGGATTTATTGTAAACTTGAATCTTCATACTAAGTATACGTCTTTTTAGTTAGAACAAAGTGCCAATTAATGGTATGCATTGTTGTGATAAGTCATTATAATGATGTCTGTTTGATTCCATTGGTCACACAAGTGCATTTGTTCAGAGGTGCAGCTATCCATGCAGGAGGTTGGAATTTGCGGATCAGATGTTCACTTCTGGACAAATGGGAGGATCGGAGATTATATTGTAAAAGCACCCATGGCTTTGGGTCATGAAGCTAGCGGAATAGTCAGTGAACTTGGTCAGGGTGTCACATCCTTGAAAGTAGGTAAGTGGATTGTGAACAAAGTTGTGTCGGGTATGGCAAATAAGCAGGTATTCTCAAGAGAAATATTGATTTGTAATCAGGCGTATATGCTGGCTCATGGGTAAAGATAAAATATAATCTTGTAATGATTATTTGCAAGTGCCCTTAGCAGAATGTATGTGGTGCACTTGAAGACTGGGACGTACTCTCATTGAGTCAACATGTGGTTTATCGAAGAACACAGCCTGGCTGGAATCGTAACAAATTGTTTTTCTTTGCTCATAGCTTGTAAGTCAAAATAACAATAAATCATGTCCCATTAATAAATCAAATCCATAATTACATTATGTGACCAGTAGTAGATCTAGGAGAAGTCGTCAACCCGGTGTCTGAAGGCCAATTCGGTTTCACTGATAATCCCATAAATGAGCCATTGCCAAAAAATGAGGACTTCGTGAGGGTCATGGAGGTAAAGAAATAATGTCGATTAATTTACATGCATGAACGCCTATTTTGTGCATTGTACATGTACAGTGAAAACCTGATATAACAGAGATGGTGCGACCAGAGAAAAAGTCCTATTATATCAGATCCCTGTTAAATCAGAAATGCAAGGAAAGTAAGCATTTCTGGAATATTCCAGCTGTATTTCTTGAAGGGTGGGCTACCTTAAGGTCTGCAGCACACCGCAGTCCTCTCTCGCTTCACCCGCTGCGTGTGCTTGCAGTGGCGTGGCTTGCGCTTGCATGCTTCATCTCTCTCTCTCTCTCTCTCTCTCTCTCTCTCTCTCTCTCTCTCTCTCTCTCTCTCTCTCTCTCTCTCTCTCTCCCCCTCTCCCTCTCCCTCCCTCTCTCTCTCTCTCTCTCTCTCTCTCTCTCTCTCTCTCTCTCTCTCTCTCTCTCTCTCTCTTACTTTTTACACATTGCTAACGAGCCTTTGTCTCTGCAATAACCGATTGGGCTCCGATGAGGCCCTGTTATTGCCGATAACTTTTAATAGAGACAAAGAGTAGGGAAAAAAACAGGGATTTAAAAAAACCCTGTTATTACCGGATCACTGTTATTACAGGGCCTGTTATATATCGTTTCCACTGTATTTATATGGTTATCAAATGCCAGAAAAAGTAGTCAAACGGTTTCTGAGATATGTTGTTGAAATGTTAATTTATCGTACATAACAGGTTGAGGACAAACGTTGGTGAAAAAATAAGAATGGCATGATAACATTTCAATTAACTGCCAGAACAAACTGCATTCATTATAGTCAATAAACACTCCGAATCAGAAGCAGCTGACGTGAATAAAATGGTATTTTGTGGGTTAAAAATGTTGATATTGTGTCTTCATAGCTTACTGTGGAACCTATTCTGAATGTATCTAAAGAAAAGTGTGACGCAGAAGTTGGATTTATATGAATCAGTCGAATATTCATTTCAATATGCACTGAATGACCTCCAATTAAAAACTAAAAAGCACTGATATTTTGGCCAATACCACTCAAATGCAAGATATGCTGTCTACCAAATCCTATTTCATGCATTGCCCAAGGTGTTTTATTTTACATTTCTCCATACACATGCGAAAAAGAATCCATGAATGTTTAAAACTGTTTTTTTTTGTCACTGGTTTTATTTTGTTGTGTAAGATTTCCCCAGGTTTTGAAAAAATGTTCATTTACACTATCAACGAAACTGAACTGAACTGTCGTAAGCATGTCTTTGTTTTATTACTAGGACATATTTCATTGTCATTTATCTCACAATTCTTATTTATATATACATGTATTGAGTATTGATCAATATAGAAACATTGCTTTTCGATAAATTGTGGTCTGCTTAGAAGAGGATTACGGACGTACACGAACTTAGTAGAAAGAGACCATTACAACACGTTCTTGTTTTGGAAATATCAGAAACTGCTCACTGTTTTTGTTGCATTATTATTTATACCACTAACAGCACGTAATCATTCACCCAAGGACGCTTTAAAAAAAACTTTTTTGCTTCTTCTCTTAGGAGACAGAGTAGCAATAGAACCAGGTGTCCCCTGCCGTATGTGCAACTATTGCAAAACTGGTCGCTACAATCTGTGTGTAGACATGAAATTTTGTGCAACTCCTCCATGTCATGGCAACTTGGCACGCTACTATGTCCTTGATGCAGATTTTTGCTTTAAGTAAGTGTGTGTGTGTGTGTGTGTGTGTGTGTGTGTGTGTGTGTGTGTATGTGTGTGTGTGTGTGTGTATGTGTGTGTGTGTCTATATGTCTTTCTCTCTCTCTCTCTCTATATATATATATATATATATATACTTTGCATAATAAGATTACAACAACAACAACATCAACAATAATAATAATAATAATAATAATAATAATAATAATAATAATAATAATAATAATAATAATAATAGATCTAATAATAATAACAATCGTAATTTTTAAAAAATAGTAATAATAATAATAATAATAATAATAATAATAATAATAATAATAATAATAATAATAATAATAATAATAATAATATAGAGATGATCATACATTTTTACAGTTGTTAATGTTTGTTTTCTGTGGTAATCGTGTCTGTACACAATGAGTGAGATTTTGCTTGATAATCTTTTCAGTCATATGTGTACAAATGTTTCATATTGATTTTTATCTTTGTTAGCATAAAAGCATTTACATGGAAATGTTTGTACACATACTGCTGAGTCACGAGTCATTCTTTTGATATGCTCTATATTCTTGTTTTGCAATGGGTTTTGCATATCATTTTGAATCTTGCATTATATCGGTTCAACTGTTGATACTGTGTCTAACAACTTTCTTATTTATCTCTGTGGTTTCTGATTTGTTTTCTTTCCATGATTGTTGTCAATAAATGGATTTCTCTGTAATAACTGTTTGTTTTGTTTTTGGTAAGTGTTTTACGGTGCTCGAAATTGAATAATGTTATATGAGCGCTCGGGATGCATTAAGCATTTTTTTTTAGTTGGAATTAATTTTGAATTTTGCCCGGGTAGCGACCGAAGCCTACTCTTGTCTATTTTAGGACCACCAAGGAATATGCACAAGGGACCTCTAAGATTTTTAAACTGTTATCCGAGAAAGCTAGGTGCTAGATCTACCTACCCCAAGATCAGGGGTGTGGCTGAAAGACAGCAGTACGAAGAAGCCAAAGAGTAGCACTAAAAAGGCAGCAAAAAGGGTAAGGAGCCCAGAGGAGGGGGCAAAGTCGAGGGGGGGGGGGCAGAAAGTGAGATGAAGGCGGACGACAGAACAAGATTAGAGAGTAGGAAAGGCGAAATGAGAAAAAAAATTATGTTTTACTTTTAGAGAAGAACATTTTCCGTCGCCGTCAGTGTCAGGTTTCGAACCTGTTACCTTTTGAATGAGATCGAACACCCTGCCTCTAGACCACAAGATCCCCGTATTAACTCTTTTTAGGCAGAAACCACTGCATCGTTTTTGTAGCCCTTTTTTCAACAGCCATTCTTAGACTGATTCACCAATCAGCATTAAAAATTTTATAATTGAAAAAGATTGAAAAAGCGTAACTAAGATTGAAATAATTTTAGTAGATCTAAAGAATCTAGTTCTTCCAAATTATTGCCTCGTAAAAGAGCAAAAATTGTGTTTAATTCTGTGTAGAAGGTGTTTAGAAAATAGGTAGGTTCATTTAGAGTAACGGCATATTTAAAACACAAGTGTTCTCATATGTGGTTCTGTACGAGATGTTGCTGGGAGATGAGTATCTGTTGGTGGTCACATGGAGACCTTTACCCTTTCACAGCCAGGATTATATTGTCAGACTACAAAGTAGCCCAAAGAGGGTTTGGGCAGTGAGGAAAGTTAACCTGTACAGTGTATGCCTAAGAGATTTTAACTTAAATCTTGAATTACTCAGGCTCCCGGACCATGTTTCTTTGGAAGAGGGTGCACTGCTGGAACCTTTGTCTGTTGCCGTTCACGCGACAAACAGGGCCGGTGTTGGACTGGGCAGCACAGTACTGATCTGTGGAGCTGGTAGGTACAGGATTGCAAGGTCAAAACCTTGTGACTTCTCAACCTTCGTGTACAGTAGGCTACTGTCCCAGAGTTCATTTTAACTACTTTAGAGAGTTGGTAGAGAGGCATTGCAGTTTTGACCTTCTGGGACCATGCTAGGTAGTGTTTTGTGCAATCCTAATTCATAGTCCCATAAAAACTTGGGAATGGGGGAG